GGGTCGTCAGCGCCCCCTGCATCGGGCAGCGTCCAAGACACTCGTGGGCTCCTTCTCGGAGCCGCCTGCTACCCTGGCCTCCCTCTCTCGTCTCTCCTCCTCTTCCTCCTCCTGCCCTTCCTCCCCCTTCTTCCCTCCTGCGTGCGCCCCGCGCGACCCCGAGGCGGCCGCCCCAGCCCTGGGCCGCTGCACGAGGTCAGGACGGGCGGAGGCCTGGGACTGGCGGAGGCCCGGGAGGGGCAGACAGAGTGTTCAGGATTCATCGAAGAGCGCGTCCCAGCCCCAGGGCGGATCTACCTGGCTCCATGGGCGGTACTTGGCGCTCTGGAAAGAGCACGCGCGCCTCGGGCTCCTTAGGGCCCGCAGTCCCTGAGAGGATACTTGGGCCCGACCCTGGGTTGGCTTTTGGGGTTCATATAAACTGGTTAATGGGATTAACCAATTCCGGGCTTCCTATGTAGTGTAGACACCTGAAACCGCCCGCTACCTCCTTCCATTTGACCTTGGGCAAGAGGCTGAACCATCCTGCCTCAATTTCCTCTTCTCTAAAATGGGGTGGTAGGAGACTTAAGTGACTAAATAAATCCTTGGTAACAGTGCTATGCATGTTGGTGCACACCCATACTCTGGCTGGGAACTGTGTTTTCCTGCTGTCGGAATCCCAGCCCAACCCCGGACCCCAGTTCTTTCCTCAAGATCTATTTTATGGTAGGTTCCTCACAGGCACCTTCCAACAGTGACTTGTCCTGATGCATTCACTGACAGGTCAAGACAGTGACACAGGCCTGTGTGGTGCCCCAGAAGCTGAACCCTCCTAGTTGCCTCCTTCCTGCTCACCTACCTAGTGACCAGCCTCAGCTTGTCTCCCTCTGATAATGCCGCTTCCTCTGCTCCACCCCCATGGGAAGACCAGCAGCCTAGCATGTTTGGCCACACCTGTTCTGAGCCTCCCTGAACTGCAGTGATGCTGGATGGGGCACCTTTATTCTACTAAAGAGGGAAAGTCTAACCCAGTGGTTTTCTGGGTAGCAAACAGGCTTTGTGCAGGAGAGGCCCAGCGTGGGGCTTTGGCTAGTGAGGACCCTCCTGATCTCTGTCTTTTTCCTCCTGGTCAGCCTGGAGGAATCACAGGTGCTGGTTTAAGGAAGAGGAAACCAAAACACAGGGAGACCTAGGAAAAGCCAGAAGGGAAAATTGGGGGGTTTGGGGGGCGGGCAGACTTCAATGGTGTGTGGCTGCCACCCCTGAGGCCAGGTGTTGGGGCAGGCTTCCTCACAAGGGTGTCCAGAACCTTCCCTGCATCCTGGGCCTGGCACAGGCAGTGGCCACACACCTGCAGCAAGAAGGATCCTGTTGTTGGAAATGGGATTTTTGCAGCAGCTTCAGATCTTTGCTGTCAACCATTGTTTCAGAGGGTTTCTGTTGTTTGTTTCTGTATTTGCTGCTTTCTCAGAACAGCATCCCTTTGCTTCTCCTATGGAGCCAGCTAGTTCAGATAGGGCTGACTCCAGCCCTGTCCCAGGGCCTGGCCCTGCTAGGCCAGTCAGGGCACTGCATCCCTCTGGCCGCAGTGATTAGAGAATGCATGGTCATGTGGCCCATACTGGACCAATGAGTGTCATCCTCAGCACTCTGGCTAGAGGTTCTGGGAAGGAGGTGCTTGCTGGTAGGAATATCAGCCTGGAGATACTGGCAGGTGCCACCTGGAGGAGGAGGTCAACTGAGGACAAAACAGAGCTGAGCAAGGGAGAGAGAAAGATTCCTGGCGATAGCATACAAATACCCAGATCCAGCCATTCCTGAAGCTATGTGTGCCCCTGGGCTATCCAGACAAAAGTATCCATGAATTCCTTGTTTCTCCTGTTTGAATTGTGTTTCACTTGCAGCTAAACATCTTATGTCATCTGGCCATCTCATTTCTGGATGAGAAGGCTGAGACTTGGGGGCTCCGGGCCACATGGCTTATCAGACATGGATCTGAGCTAGTAATCTGGAGAGTGTCTCTGGCAGGGGGCTCCTGCCTCCTCCGGTTTCTCTCAGTCTCCTGTGCTGTCCTTCCTGACCAGTGAATCCGTAGCCTCCGAGTCCACAGACGCCCTCGACTGAATATTCTCTGGGCCAGCGCTCCCTGAGTCTGTCTTGTCCATAACTGTACCTCAGGGTCAGCCACAGAGGCTCTTGGCAAACACTGGGGGAGAGAATTAATGAGTCATCAAAACCCCTGTGCCTAGTTGGGGTTATGGAGGGGTTCAGAAAATCAGGAACTCCCAGAGCTTCCTCTCTTCCACCCTGCCCCTGCCCTTGGCATGCACAACAGCCCCTTGTCCCCACTTTTACTGATGACTTTACCTGAGGCCTTGCTCCAACCCTTCAGTTCTTCCCTGGACCATCTCGTGGATGGCGGTATGGCCAGCGTTGGGCAGTGGAGTGAAGGATGGGCTTTCACTCTAACTCCCTTGCCCCGTACCCCTTTGTGCCACTCCAAAGGCTCAGGCACCCCAGAAATGCTTCCAGGAACACCCCCTGAGGGGCCATGGCCGCTCCCCACCCCCAGCACACCAGAAGGGGTGAGTGAGAATACACAGGAGGAGAGGGCTTGCTGCCGGGCCACAGGCTGTGCGCCTCCTGAAATGTGCGGCGGCACATCTGCCCAGAGAAAAAGGGAGGCCCGGAATCGCAAGCTTTGTTATTTTTACTTTTTGGTGTGAGGGGCCATCTGTGCAGGTTTGAGCTTGTCTGGAGGAACCCAGATTTGTAGATGAAATTCTAAAGTAGGATTACTTTGCAGGCTGTCACGCTGAGACTTTCTCCCCAAGCTGGGGTGGCAGTGCTGAGACTCATAGCGACAGCGCGTGCCAGGGTCCAGCAGCTGTTCAAGGTGAGCGAGCATGTGGGGCCCGCCACCAGGCCATCGTCAACCCCCACAGCGATGGTCACTCTTCTCGGCACTGGTGCCACCAGGGCTGCCCGGAGGGGCCTGGAGCGCCAACTGAGCACACGGGCCCCCACTGCCTGTCCGGAGGGGAGGAAGCCAGGGGGAGGAGGAGGCAGGCAATGCCAGCGTGCGACCGGGAGGAGCTCTGACCTCCTCAGCTGTTGCCTGTTCCTCCCAAACGACCTCCATGAGCCTGTGGCGGCACATGCATCCTTGGATATGCCCACGGCCCCCATCGTCAGCCACAGGACACCATGATCCCCCTGCATGGAAATTCCAGAACTTTCCTGTCCAAGCTGAAGCAGCAGGTGGAGCTGGCCACATTGGGCTCCCCTCTAGGACCTTCCCACAAACCAGGGCTATGGTGGGAAGGGGTGTCAGAGGGGCATCAATGTGCAAAGGGGGGCAGGAGGGTCATCCAAACCCTGTTCTGGAAGCCTTTTGTGGGCTGTTGCCGCTGAGAGTCCTAGCATGGGGCTCTTATTTTAGCTCCTGGCTGCTCACAGATTGTGCACCGCCCCACACATCCTGTGCTAGTCAAGTTAGTCTCCAACAGCAGCCTAAGCATCAGGTGGGCACATTCATCTGGTTAATTTGTAATAAGAAACATTGTTTCTGGCCTGGATGCTTTCCCTGGGCCCGCCCTGGGCCAGATGTGCGGCAGCCCATGATGGGGTGGCACCAAGGAGAAGGAGAGGACCCTGAGGTTCAGCATATCTCCGTTTGGAAACTTCGGTGCCATTCCTGACCGCTCCTCCTGGGCTCCAGTGAGGGAGGGTGATGATAGACCGGGGGTGGGGGGTGGGGAGGGAAATGCTCTGTGGCCCTTTCAGTCATCGCTGTGCTCCAACACACACTCCTTTCCCCAACTTATGCCAAATCATGAAACCCAATACCAATAGACAGGGATTGTGGGGAGAAAGCAATCCATAACCTGTATTTTTTCTTTCTTCAGAAAGAACCCTTGGGTGAGGAATGTGATTTCAGGTGCACCAAGAGGGGTCCTTGGCTCTGAAACACTGCTCCAGACACACACTCCCACACACACTGCCCTGCCACCCACGTCAGAGAGAGTACCCGTGCGCCGGATTATGGCAAAGCAGAAGGAGCGCGGCAGGGCCTGGGAACATGGCAAACAGCCACTGCTGGTGCCCTTGGCATTGCCCGGGTACCAAAAGGACAGGGCGAGGGGCCCAGAGGAGGGCTCCCCAGGCCCTGCTGGGCTCCAGGCTCACTCTGGGGCTGACTTCGCTGGGGAAGACAGCCCTTTTATTTTTTTTAACACAGAAACAAAAGGATGAAATCATTAGCATCAATTGGGCACATTCAGTGTAGATTACTGACATGCCATTGTTACGAGGATAAAAGAAATATAATTAATAAAACCCGCCCAGCCCGCCTTTTGTGCTCCCATGAATTCTTTATTGGCATCTGCATCTATCTCGTCCACAGACGAGCCCTCTCCTTCCACTGCCCTGGACGTCGCTAAAATGAACGGTGCAGAAAATCACTCTCAGGATCTAGAAACTCATCTTTTTCTGCTGCAATTTGTCTTCTGATGCCTCCGTTCTCTCCCTCCCAGGGCAGAAGTAGACAGAGCATTTTCTAGCAGTACAGCACAAGTTCCATTCAAGAAAGAACAAAGCCAGGCCCGAGCTCCCTCCCACCCGGGACCCTGTCGAGGGCCATCCTGCAGGGCCAGTTCCCTCGCAGGTGGGGGTGGGGGCATTTTTTGGAAGCAGCCCTGGAATCACACTTGCCCCACCTCCGGCCTTGACCAGTCCTAGATGGGCTGAGTGTCAAAGGTCACCCTGAGGGTCAGCAGACTGCCTGGCGGACCCCGGGGGAGGTGGGGCGGCCCTCAGCCCCTGGCCAGCTTCCAGCCCACCTGCTTGCCGGCCTGCTCTCTGCCCTGTGCACTGTCGCCCTGGCCCCCCACCCACCCTTGATGTCGAGAGAAACGAAACCTCCTTTGCATGACAGGAAGCAGGGAAGTTCCCTGAAGTGTACTGCAAACCTAAAAACACCCCAACCCAGGCTTTCATCACCACCTGGAAGACCAGCATTTGAAGAGAAACAGAAAGCCACTCTTAACCCCTGAGAGCCTGGGCTTACACCGAGAGAACACGCTGTGCTCTCCTGCCCACTGGGCAGATGAGGAGTCTGAATCCCCAAGTAGGTCAGTGATGAGCTGAAAGCCCCACAGACCTCGGGGTGAGAGCCGAGACTCTCCCGAAAATCCAGGAGTCTGAATTCCCATCGCCCGTGGGAGATAGACAGGTAAAGAACATGTCTTTGGACACCGAGATGTTTGTCCTGGGTTAAACATGCTCAAATAGCCTGCTCTCTCTGCCACTTTCCTTGGACCTTTCTGCGTTCTTCATCTGTACTGTTTTCTTGCTTTTGATAGAGTTAGGGGCCCCAGCTATTTGTCTTCCCCGGGAGGTTGGCAGTGTGTTGGTGAGGATCAATGGCAGGGATTCCCGGGCCAGGGGCAGGGGCGGTGGGGACTCTGGTGTTCTGCACGCTGTGGGCCCTGCTGGCCAGGCTGCCAGGGGCTGGGAGCCACAAGCCTATATGAGCTCTCCCAAGTTTCACATGTCGGCTCAAACACAACAGAGCCCCGCATGGCAGCACCAGCCCCACAGCCCAGATGGGCAGCCTCTGTTTCTACCCTGAGAGCCACAGGGACCCCGCGCAGAGTCAGGGAGTGATGGAGGACAGAGAAGTTTGGGGGGGGGGGCGCTTCAGACCAAGTCATCATCTCTCACGACGACAGATTGCTCGTTGTTTGTCTACAACAAGGTATAACTTGGGGAGGTGCTTAGCAAGAGGGGCACAGAGAACTTTCTGGAAGACTGGGGGAATGGATTTGTCTGTCTAGCTCTCTGTCTGATGATGCACTGGAGCTTTTGTATGTCATTCCACCCTTATGATCCCTCCAGGAACTGGAATTCAATGGTGTGTGGCTCCTTTGCCCAGAAGAAACGCTAGAACAGCAGAAGTCTGATTCATTTCTGTTCAGGTCTTGCTTTTCAGTTGGAATGTGGTCTTTTGCAAGTGGAAGATAGCGTGTATTCTTCTGGGCATGGAAGAGTACGAAATTTAATGAAAGTGACTACACATGTAAGAATCAATCCATTTCCCTCTTCATTCAGGGAGTGAATATTTAATAAGCGCCTATCATGTGCCAGGCCCTGAAATGATGTGCTAAGCAACGAAATCAATTGGCAAGCAATCACTGAAAAAGAAAAATGAGAGGGGGTGAGTTTGCATGGGTATGTCCGTTTTAAATGACTTAAGAGAGATAATTGGATGAAATAGCCCTGTACAAAAACCAGCAAATGTTTTGTGTATTCGTATGTTCATGTATGCATAGAAAAGGTTCTGGAGCCACGTACACTATTTTAACACCAAAACTGGTAAGGATGGCACCTCTGCGGGATTTTCACTTTCTCTGTTGTACATGTCCGCAGAAGTCTAATTTATCATATCACACGTGTTCCGCTTCCATAATCAGAGAAAAACCAAGGAAGTTAAATAATAGCAATTTTCACGGGAAGAAAAGATGGCTGTAGCAAGTGCTGGAGCAGCCGTGGGAAGATAGGCTCGCTCACAGTCCCTGGCTGGGAGGATCGATCAGCATAATTTGGGGAATTAGCTGACCACATCTAGTAAAGTTGCAGGGGCACACGCCCTTTGACACGGCGGCTCCAGGTCTGGGAATGTGTCCTGGAGGAACCCCCACACATGTGCCACGTGTGTGCAAGATGCTCATTGCAGCGTCGTCGGTGATGGTGATGGCATTGCTGACCTGCTCATGGGCCAGCCTGGGAGGGACTGTATACGTTGTGGGATAGTCACACAAGAGAAGACTCTATCACAGTTAAAAATAAATAAATCCAACCCTCCACGCGTCCATGTGGGTAAATCTTGAAAATAAGGTTGAAAGAGAATAGGAAGTGGTATTATTATAGGTAAGGTTCGATGCCACTGGTGTGGATTTTTAGGACACCCAGAGTAGTGTTTCTGTAAGTCTATTGCTTATGGAGCCAAATGTAAATGATAAAAGTCTAAACATATGTGTGGGAATCATCCACACTGACCTCAGGGTGATTGTTAACTCTGAGCAGGAAAGAAAGACGATGGGATGGGGGGAGGGAGACCAGGGGGCCCTTCAGTGGCATCTTTAATGTTGTATTCCTTTAAAAAAATGTGAAACTGGGGATGGGTCTCTGGGTAAGTCATCATATTCCTTTCCGCACTTGAACATGTTTGCCTGTCGGATGCGTGTGAACTGATCTCGCTGATGACTTGTGAATTGAGTGGCTTTCCTATGAGTATTGTGTATCGCCAGTGCCCATTTTTCCTAAGAGTATTAACAACGGGAAGTGAAGTAAGCAGTTTCCCTAGAAGATGGCAAAGTGCGCATGTTGGGGTGAGGAGATGTGCTGGTGGAGGCTCCCTTCAGACAGGAGGTACTGGGGACATCGGTGTGGGACAGACAGGGGTGCTCTCCGGCAGGAGGTGAGGGTCTAGCTGACTGTGGATGGGCTGACAGGCAGGGGTGCAGGCGTAGAAGTCGCTGTGGCCTGAAAGGAGATGGGGGGCAGTCACTGAGGCAGGGCCATTTAGAAATCACTGATGCATGGAGCGCACAGTCCTTTTCCCGGGACCCTGAGAGGCAGAACTCAGGGCTTATTTCTTCAACTTCTGCCTCCAGGTGTAGCTCTGAGCCCATCATTGTCCCCTTCACAAACACCAGCTCCCTGCTGCCAGGGACATTGGGACATACGAGCCTGACTCGTAAAAGCCCATTGTGACGTGGCCTCTGTCACCTCCGCTGCATTATCTCCTGCTTCCTCCGCTGACTCGTGACCCTGACCGCTCTTCATCAGCTGGGGGGGGCGGGCCCTCTCAAATAGGCGTGGCAGCTCTGCTCCAGGCCCTTCCCAGGCCCCCACACTCCCGGGGTTCCAGACCCGCTCACCTGAGCTCTAGGATCGCATCCCACATGCTTTGGTCTCAAGTCCTGGTGGTGCACAGCAGGGCTCAGGGGCTCACGACAGAGAGCACCCCGCGCACCACACCGGGGAAGCCAGCATCAGACCAGAAATCACTGCAGTCAGCTGCCACACAATTTTTGGAAATGACATTGGTCGGGAAAAATGATTGAAAGGATAGGTGGGGTGGGGGGGTGCAGAGGGAGTCCTTATTCCATGCAGGACAGCGTTGCCCTCCCGTCTGAACCTCCTGGGAAATAGTACTTGGTAAGCCTGTGACTCCGAGCACATTAGAGTCTTTGGGAGCTAAATCTGGAGTTGGGATGAGGTAGGAAAAAAATCTATGCTCATTGAATACAAAATGCAATTGTCTGTCAGTGCAGGAACTGAAGTATCTGCAGCAAATTATATTTAAGACTCTATTGTCGCAGGCAGATTAGCTAATGCTTGGTTTTAAGTACAGGCTTCTAATGCTATTACTCCTGGTTAGCTCTGCCTGGCAGGTAACCTTGTGGAACAAATGGTTGCATTGCTTGAATAACATATTTGATCAAACAGGACAATTCTTTCAAAAATTGAGTTCTCTGTGGCAATTTGAGACCTGTAATCAGCAAATTAGATGATTACAGCAGGGATAAAAATAGTCTTCTAACAATGTCCAAGGTATAAATGTGATTTGAATTTCAAAATGTTGAACATGCGGTAGGAAAATGCACGGTTGGGTAAATATGACTAGACATTATCAGATTTGATTTCTCTTGCCAACCCTGCTCTGAGCTAGAGCCTAATTTTGCCCAAATAAACTCCAATCTCGTTTGTGTCTGAGTCTATCTTGCACTGTCTGTGCTCCAAATCTTCAAGGGCTCAACGGCTTTACTTATCAGCCCTTAGGAACTTAGAGTCCACGTGAACCTTAGCATCATTTATCCACTCGGTGTGAAATCCACGCAGCAATGAGTTGTCCGAGGTCCACACAGGGAAGATGGCGTTGGAAGGACTTCCACACCCATTACCTGAAGACCAGTGTTTTCTTTCTACGACACAGAGGACAGGGACAACCAGAGCAACTCTGGGGAGGTCTGGTGACTGAACTGTGAGCTGGGGCGTGACATGAGGATGTGGTTTGCTCTACCACAATCCAATCAGCCCTCATGGTTGGTCAATAAGTTACTCTTAGTTTCTCCTCTAACACAAGGAAGTCAGACTAAGAGGCCACGTCACCTCCTTCTCTGGGTCCCCCTGCTCACCACCTCTGCCTCAGAGCATTTGCTCATCCAGGTTGACCAGAGCTGCCATTTTCACCCCCATGTCTGTTTGGCATCCCCCAGCCTCAGCCGGTTTTAGCTGAATGGCAGAACAAAAATGATTTGGCAAATGGGTATGCAGAGCCAATCAGTGAGGGACCAAAGTTTGTGCTGACTACTAGCAAAAGGAGGAGCTCCTTAAAGCAGGGAAACTTGATGTTACTTACTAGTGGCTCTTAGGGTTTCTGGCAGAGCCACAGAAAATATTGATTCCTGTGGATTTCACTTATCCACTCAGGACGCAACCTTTATTAGCACAGATGATTCAGAGCTACCCATGGCAACACTGCCATTTAATAAAAACGAAACCAAAAACCTGATGTCCAGAAATGCAGCACTCAAATTTGCTTATAAGGCATTCTCATTTCAGCAGCCCCAGTAGCACTCTGTGACAATGTGTGGGCCAGACGGTCCATGAAGTAGTTAGTACCTGCCTCGAACATGTGTTCAGACCAGTGTCACCTCCCCTGTCAAGCCTTAAAACTTATCCAAAGCTTTGAATATAGAAATGTTTTCAGTGCCATGTTTTTGCATAGAAAATGCCAAATGTAAATTAACCACTTATAGGATTTTTCCAACAAGCCACTTACGAATGGTCACCATTAAAAATTCATTGCTTTTTAAGGTGGGAGCATCTCTGCCTGAGATGAGGAAATAATTAGCTCAGAGTACCATCTGACTAAATACCAGGACACGTAGATTTATAATGCATTTATTTGGAACACCATATTAAAACTTGCCAGAACTATAGCATCACAATGTGGAGTAGGGTCTCTCTCCGATTTCTTATAAATATGATACAGATTTTAAAATGGCTGTTTTTCTATTCAGACAGGGTTTTGCAAAATGAGATAAAATACCAAGTTGAAAATAAGTGGGTTTGTTTGCTCATTCACCCTCCCTTTTTCTGAACCCATAACATAAACCAAAGCGTTGTAAGGAAGTGCAACACACAAGACCACCATGATGAGAATGCTTAACAAAATGCATAGTGAAATGTACACATTAGGCCTCCAAGTGGACAGGTACTCCCTCCATGGGCAAGGCATTTGGTGACTCCATCAGTGGTCAAGGTTCAGACCGTGCACTGACATCTGGCCTTGAGCTAACTATCATTTTATTTTACATTTTCTTCTTACAAGTTTGGTTTTAGGCTACTACATTATGTTAACAAGTTCTCCCAACAAAAGTTCTTTAGGTTAAGATTTGGGTAAGGACAAAAAGGGTGTTGAGTAACACTTATTACAGATGCTTTATGACCTCTGGCCTGTCGTGGGGCGGACATCATACCTAAGAATCCTCTTGGATGCAGACACGCGCTCCCCAGTACTGTCACCGCCTGCCGGCAAGCCCCACCTGCGCAGCCACTGTGCGGGCCTGGGAGAAAGGGGGAGAAATGCCAAATCGAAGCCTCATTCCCACCTCACGTAGCCCTTGGGAGGCATTGGTGGCTGTACCTAAAGCTCACTTCTTTCAAATATATTTGCCTGAAAGGTGTGAGCTTTAAGAAGTATGAAGTTAAAGAAAGAGAACTCGATACAGCCACACTCAAAGATGACTTCTAACTTAAATGATCACACGTAGCTCATAAAATGAGCTGTCTCAAAGACAGTGTTACCTTTATTAAAAAAACGGATAGACATAGCAGCACGTACAAAATAACAGTTCATAAAAGGCATTGTACATTGTCAACTGATAGTGTAAAAGGGCAGGCCCCCAGCACAGCTGGTTGTGGGCTCCACATCACAATGCTCACAACCACCTGTTCCCCTCAATACGACACAACCCAGCACACCCGAGGGGAGCCCACAGCAACGTGGCACTCCGCAACTTCAAGCCTTTGTTCTGTGTGTGAACAGTCAATCAAGTCAAGTATCACCCTCCTTAGCAGCATCTGGAGCACTCATTGGTGTTCTGGAGGTGGCTGGTGTACTTGACCCACTTATTTCAAAAAATCTAAGCATTCAATAAAAAACACTTGTCCCTGTCCAATGCCATCCACAGAAACACTTCGGTTGCAGAAGAGACATGCTCTTCCATTGAAATATCTGTAAAAGCTAATGCGCACCTCCGCCCCAGTATGCAGCAGGGAACTTGGAGCGGGCACTTCTGCACAACTGTCTTTGGTGGAGGATGCTGGTGTGGTCACGCGGTCCCCTGCTCACTGCTCTGCTTCTTACTGCTCTGTGGGGGAGTGAGGACCCCGGTGGGGAGAGGAGAAATCCTATTTTGTTCAGACAATATGGCTTTCTTTGCTTGGGCTTTGTCCTGGTAAGAATAAAAGCGAGAAATGTTAAAATGGAAGAATGCATCTTTTGGGCTTCGCGGCCTGTGTGCTCCTTTCTGTGGAGGTGAGGGCAACGAAACAGCAAAGAACAATCTGAAGCCGCTGGTCTACGTGCTATTTAGACATCGCATCTATTGAGCACAATTTTTCTTTTTCAAAGGAATTAAAAGAATTGGAGTCTTTCTAGGATATTGGGAGACTGCCTAAAGAGGAGTGAAGAGGCTACTCAGGCAGTTTTAGGAATTTATCTGGGAAATGAGGAACACGACTCACCAGCAAATCCAAGCTGTTTATGTGGGTCTGGATGTTGTGCGCATCTTCAGCAGGAACTCCCCTGAAGTGCTTAAGTTTTGAGCTCCCTGTCTCCCTTATAACCATGGCAAATGGAACCATCCACTTGACACACTTCTCTATATCACACCATTGATACCCTGCAATGAAAATAAATTTTAGGCTCCATCGGTTTGTAAGTTTAATACACCTTGTGAATGGACTGGAAAGCCAACGTACCTGAAACCTTTTGCATCAATTCAGATGAAGAGAAATGATACAAGGCAGAAGCAGCAAGTACACCATAGGGAAATTCTAAGCAGCCAACATCCAGGACACAAAGATCTAAAAGCTGTGGAGGAGAAAAGAACACTAAAGCAGGCGGCCAACATCTATCCCTTCTAGAGTTCCTCGGTTTCCCGGTGGGGTAGGTAGACCCTCCCAGAGGTAACAGAGCCACTCACCTCTGCGATCTGTATGAAGATTTGCTGGGGATACTGTGGCAGGAGCACTTCATATAAGTCATTTAGATATGCAACCTGCATATATACATTCAGCCAGGACACAATGGTCAGGGGACTTAAGTGCCACTTAAGGGCCTAAGGGAAAACAGAGAGAAGGGTCAAACCAATGGCTGAGAAAAAAAACCAAAACAAAACACATTTCTGCTCCCTTTGGGCCTCTAAAGGAGTTCAAAATGCAGCCACATTCCATGCCACAATGTGTCCAGCTGGAGAACACCTAGTCAGATGCACTCACACTGAATGTGGAAAAGATATTATGTATGCATTTAAAAAAAAGGACTGAAAAATTAACTTGTAACCTACCTTCATAATGATTAATTCCATGCTAAGAATTTCCTCTCCTGAACAAGCCCCATCTGTAACATAAGCAAACTGGTGTAGCTTTGGAGGATAGATTTCCTAAAAGGAAATAAAAGGAAGAAATGACTAGCAAATTTCTCTAATAGTTTTAACTTACAATGTACATCCAAGATTACTGCTTTTAGTATGCTAGCATGGAAAGAGAGGGAACATCATAGAATAAATACAGGAGCTACTCCACTGGTCAAAATGCATTCATTGTGAAAGAAACCAAACACCCATCGTTACCAATAAATAAAGACATAAATACAGCTTTTACTCAGTGGGGACATTTTTGAAATTTTCACCTTTTTAATACCTTTAGCAACATGTTTGAAAGTTGGGCCTATCCACCCTTCTCATCACATCAAAATTCTAATCCTCTTGGGTCAAAGTTCAATTTTTTGGCGTAAAGTAACTACATTAACCTAAGCATTTTATATACTCTCTACTTCTCTCACTTCTTGATTTCTAGCCCTTTCTGCATGTATCTTTACTTTAGATGACCTCAAATTAGAAAAATGTAGACAAACAGTTGGCCTATTCCAGTAATCTCAGGGGATCTCAAGAAACAGCATGTGCTACATAAGAAATATTTAAAAATAATTTACCTCAAGTTTGGCAGCAATAAATAAAGATGAAATCCCAATAAGCTGTAAAAGTGTTTTAACAATATTTTGTTGTGTTGCCATATACCGATCAAAGAAATCCTGTGCCAAGTAAAATGTCTCTCTGTGAAGTTTATAGACTTCGCACACCTGAAAAAATATTTAGTAAGTTTTAGAACAGTTACTTGAGGAAAAAAGAACAACAAAAAAACAACTTGCCATGAGTCTTGGTGAAGGACAATATAACCAAATCAAGAGAGAGAACTTTGCTTTTCTGAAAGGATGGTTACCTGGCTTATCCCTAAGCACAGACACAGAGCAAAGCTGGAACTCAGAAGGACTAAGTGTTCCGTGATCTATATAATAGTAAGGGCAAATGGGCATAGGCTGCTAAAGCAGCATTTTCATGGAAAAACTGTGAATGATAATCTCAAACTAAAATTAGGACCATGCCTCCCCTGCCCACCTCACAGGAATGCTGAGAGAGCGGGTAAAATGATGTGCATGGGGGAGCCAAAGAGGACGAAGGAAATAGTAGACTTCAACTCGTCACCACCGTCTAATGTCCGATTATGCATATAAAACTGCCATTCCTACACAGGCCTTCCCATGTGTCAGTGCAATTCATGGGGCTAAAAAGTAGAAAAGGCACCGGAGAAACAACAAACAGAACATTGAGAGAAAATTCCATCAATCACTAAAGAGTATTTCTAAAGTTCAGGGCGCCTGGGTGGCTCAGATGGTTAAGCGTCTGCTTTCGGCTCAGGTCATGATCCCAGGGTCCTGGGATCGAGTCCCGCATCAGGCTCCCTGCTCAGCGGGGAGCCTGCTTCTCCCTCTGCTTCTCTCTCTCTCTCCGTCTCTCATGAATAAATAAATAAAATCTTTAAAAAAATAAATAAATAAATAAAGAGTATTTCTAAAGTTCAGGTTGAGGTATATTTGAAGTCAGTTTTTATAAAGTAATATAATTATGATCTGATCAGAAGTGAAACTAGAGCTTCTGTCCCCGCAGGAACAAACTCTCAGACCTATGTCACCCAGCCACAATTGGGCACACAGCCTGAGCACCACCTTTCCCACACGCACGCAGACTTCCTGGCTAGGCTCGGGGCTGAGAAACAGCATTGCTGCAGACAAGCCTGCAGTTTTGTTCCACCGAAGACAAAAAGGTTACCATTCTTTTCTATCCTTTTAATGGTATTACATGACTTTTTTGATTTACTTTCAGAGAGAAGCCTTCCTTAAAGTATATGGCATCACCTGCATTATACAAAATAGAACTTCTCTGTCACATCTTATGAGCTGAAGCCTGGGGGAGTAAAGTATACTACACATCTAATGTTTCGAGGAATTATAAAATGTCTCAAAGGGCCCAGAAGGGCTATGGGCCACAGTGGGCCTGCAGTGGGCAACTGCAAGGCCTGTAGTTTTAAGCAGGTAGGCCTGCCAAAGAACTCAGTACAGAAAATGTTAACATGTTCAGAGACCAATAAAGAAAAGCAAATTAATAATGGTAAAAACAGCTATCTTTTCCTGCCTACTCTTTCTAATCCATACCAACTCTGCAAGGAAAATACTGTTAGAAAATACTGCAGATGAGAAAAACCAAGATTCTAAGTTCAATGACTTGCCTGACGAAGACACATACATGGTGAGGTGGCAGCAGGGGATCTGATTCCAGGATGGGCATAACAGGGGGGCGCATACCCCTGGAATATAGGCTTTCCAAAGAGTACACAGCAGAGTTTGTTTTTAGGGAATATTTAGACACTTGGCTTCCCCAGGTCCTTTTTTCATAAAATGGATCTACCTGAGATTCCTTCGACACCACAAAGAAAGCCTACTTCTCATCACCCAAGGCTTCCATGTGTCCAGGAAGGGCCCCTTCATCGAGGCATCACAAAGTCACCCACCCTTCCTCTCAGAGGGAGGTGCACTGCCCATACAATATCGCTTTTTATGTTTAACAATTACCCATCACCATTTGTAATACTTGTTCTTTTGATCAATTGTTGCAGAGAAGTCTGACGGTGTGACCAATAAAAGATTTGAACAATATATTTTGTTAGAACGATATTCTGTGGGGAAGGAGAAATGGATTCCAAGGAGTTAAAAAGGAACAATGTAAGCTTTCTGACTGTTGAAGACA